GGGAAAATAGCTGAATTTGGCCTTGAAACCAATGCGCATCGAGTTTAGCTAGATGACCACAACGTGCGCGCCGGAAAGAGCTTTCCGAATTGGGGTCATGAGCGTGATTCTGACAACCGTAGCCAAAATTATGGCCAAAATACCAAACGTGTCCAAAAAGGCTCCAATTAGGAAAGGTCGATGATTGTTTGCCAATTTTGCGCTGATCCGCCAACTCATGATATCTCAATGCCATTAACGTACTATCAGACAGCTCGACCTCGTCTGACCCGAATCCTCCTGCATCAAATGAGTACAATATGGTGAAATTTTTTTATCTTTAATAACACCTTCTATTTTCATATTTCAGTCTTGTTGGGAATTTACAGAGTTCAAAACGCTCAAGTCACAAAACAACTAATATTTTTCTACAAAGCATAAAGAAATCATAGAAACTGAAATTATAGAATGACAGAGTTCTACTTCCCTTTTGCTGGCTAAAAAGTTAGGCTCAAGAACAGTCCATCCACGTCTCGCAAATCGCCATTCAGAGAAAGAGAACAACCGGCTAGAACCACTCAATACTTTTCTTGGATCATTGATCAAATGATCTACCAAAATCAGCCAAATTCAAGTCACCTAACCCTTGTGAGAAACCAACACCATTCAGCTACTATTTCAAGCCTGCATATTATACAAGGTTCTCTCAACAACACGCTAAAGAAGATAGTGAACACCAGATGAAGAGACAGACTAAACAGAGAGAGAAACAGACCAACAGAGAGAGAAGAGAAGTCTCAAGGAAGGAACCAAAAATTAAGCTTAAAAGTTGAAGCCCAAGAGAAAATATCACACAACAATAAACTCCAGCCGTTGATCTCATCCAAGGGCCACAATCAATTCTAAAATAGCATAATCCATGTGACTACCAAGCTACCAATAAGTGGGTGATACTTAAGCAGCTAAGTAAAGAATAAGCAATAATACAAATGTCACAAATAAAACTAGCCCAATAGTCTAAGAGAACCACTAAAAGCCCACAAGTCTTTTAATATTTCTCTTAGCAAAATTTTTTTGGCCGGATCAAGGGATTATTCTCAACTTAAACGTTGTACGCTCACTAAACATTTAAACAAGGCCGCAACAAATATGGAAAGCGAGAAAAAATATAAGGATGAAAGAAGTAGTCACATTTTTTTTTTCTTGAATAATTTTAGCTTAATATTTATAGCAACAACAATATTTAAATGTTGATAATAACTAGCAAGAACTATGGTAGCCCATCGAAAATTCACATCAAGCAGCTATCAACTTTTCATGACTCATTCATGAATCAAGGATGTAGTTTGTTTCCCAACCAGATTGTCATGCAAAATGATATAAATGAATTTCTAAATAAGAATAATACAATGAAGGTGGTCCAAAATACCGAAACGTGTTCAAAAAGGCTTCACTTAGGAAAGGTCGATGATTATTTGCCAATTTTGCGCTGATCTGCCAACTCATGATATTTCAGTGTCATTAACGTACTATCAGACAGCTTGACCTCGTCTGACCCGGATCCTCTTGTATCAAAGAGTACAATATGGTGAAATTTTTTTATCTTTAATAACACCTTCTATTTTTATATTTCAGTCTTGTTGGGAATTTACAGAGTTCAAAACGCTCAAGTCACAAAACAACTAATATTTTTCTACAAAGCACAAAGAAATCATAGAAACTGAAATTATAGAATGACAGAGTTCTACTTCCCTTTTGCTGGCTAAAAAGTTAGGCTCAGGAACAGCCCTTCCACGTCTCGCAAATTGCCATTTAGAGAGAGAGAACAACAGGCTAGAACCACTCTATACTTGGCTTGGATCATTGATCAAAGGATCTACCAAAATCAGCCAAATTCAAGTCACCAAACTGATCTAACCTTTGTGAGAAACCAACACCATTCAGCTACTATTTCAAGCCTGCATATTATACAAGGTTCTCTCAACAACATGCTAAAGAAGATAGTGAACACCAGATGAACAGACAGACTAAACAGAGAGAGAAACAGACCAACACAAAGAGAAGAGAAGTCTCAAGGAAGGAACCAAAAATTAAGCTTAAAAGTCGAAGCCCAAGAGAAAATATCACACAACAATAAACTCCAGCCGTTGATCTCATCCAAGGGCCACAATCAATTCTAAAATAGCATAATCCGTGTGACTACCAAGCTACCAATAAGTGGGTGACACTTATGCAGCTAAGTAAAGAATAAGCAAGAATACAAATGTCACAAATAACACTAGTCCAATAGCCTAAGAGAACCACTAAAAGCCCACAAGTCTTTTAATATTTCTCTTAGCAAAATTTTTTTGGGCGGATCAAGGGATTGTTCTCAACTTAAACGTTGTACGCTCACTAAACATTTAAACAAGGCCGCAACAAACATGGAAAGCGAGAAAAAATATAAGGATGAAAGAAGTAGTCACATTCTTATTTTTTCTTTTTCTTGAATAATTTTAGCTTATTATTTATAGCAACAACAATATTTAAATGTTGATAATAACTAGCAAGAACTATGGTAGCCCATCGAAAATTCACATCAAGCAGCTATCAACTTTTCATGACTCATTCATGAATCAAGGATATAGTTTGTTTCCCAACCAGATTGTCATGCAAAATGATGTAAATGAATTTCTCAATAAGAATAATACAATGAAGGTGGCAGTTTAAAACAGGCCATCTCCAAAGGAGACACCAAAACACCAAAATGCACTAAAAAATGGTGCAAAATGTCTCCAATGTCGCACCAAATTTAAAGTCAGTTTTACCGTTTGTTTTCATTTTCCAAACAAATTGATTAAGGGTATTTGTGTTTTTATGTTATATATTTTTTAATGCAATAAATTATTATTATTACTATGTGCATTAATAATAAATTTTAATTAAAATAAGAATACAAAAGAAAAAAAAAATTTAAAATATAACAAACACGATTATTTAAAGTTAATTAATTTAATATATTTTTTAATTTAACGTAGTTATTTATTTAGTAATTTATGTAGTTGTAAAATAAATAAATAAATAATTTTTCAAATAAATAAATTGTTGAGAATAAAAAATATGAAGAAAATAATTAAATACTTTTCATTTGGTGTAATGATTGGAGATGAATTTTAATTTGGTGCAAAATTTGATGTAAAATGGTGCAAAACTCATCTCAAATTTTGGGTAGGGTTGGAGATGGCTTAGGCATAGAGAGGGAGCAGCCTCGTGCTTTAATTAGCCCAGCTCAAGTCCAGTTAATTTTTCCATGTGTAAAAAATAAATATTTATGGATTTTTTTTCTTTCCTTTTTTTACCCTTATGTGCATTAGCCTAAGAGTGATGCTACATGTACATGAGGAGTTTGACAAATTTTTTACAGATTGGATGCTTGTCAATTTTTGATTAGTTTTCATCAAAACAGACAAAAAAATGCACCATACAAGTGCTGTCAACATAGTACCTATATGATGCTTGTGAATAATTCCATGCATAGCCTTATGCATGAAATAACTGTTCCAATCTGGCTTTTCCCCTGTTAGGGAGAAAAAATTTGAAGTGAAAAAATTATTAGATATGCACATCAACTATGCTGCTGCGACGAGGCAATGGATAAAGATATGACTCAAGATTCGAGGACGAATCTTCTTCAATCCATGAGAATCATGCAATTAGGGGATTTTTTTTGTTTTTTGGTTATTTTATTTTCAATTAGTAGAGAGTTATGTTTAAAATTACTAACTAGGTGTTATGTTTATCAGGAGCTTATTTTCCTTTAAATTAAGATTACAAAAAAAATAAAAAATAAAGTTACAATGTTTGCCGCTTATAGATTTAGTTGAATTTGAGTAAAAATGGAGTATGTTCGTTGTTTGAGTTATGCCGCATCAGTAGTTTTACATTATAAAAAATTCTAAGAGATCCTTTATAAATATTACAACCTACTTGTTTGGAACGAGGCTATGTATGTCTTACTTGGCCACTGCAAGAGGTGTAGATAACCTTATGAAGAGTCGTAACCGGACAACTTTTATTGATCAAGACAAGCATACATATAAATGTAAATGAATGGTCCCTGCAGACACCTTTATGCTCTCTTAAACACAACCATAAAGGGATAATTGGTTAGAGCCAATCGCCTCTGTCCATTTTGGACATCAAATCCTACATCTTGACAGACAACATTACAAAAAGTGCACACACCAGGACAATGCAAAAGCTTGTAGCCACCTCCAAATTGCTGAATCTTGAACCAGTTCCCCAGCGTCTCAGGCGCGGGGTTTCCTACGATTCCACCGGTCGTGATGAAGTAATCCCCGTTCAATGTATCATTTGTATAGTAGTGATCAAGTTTCCAAACAGGTGATTCAGGACACACCGTGTACGTGTTTTGGAACATGATGTTCAGATCAGTCAATACTCGAATAACACCTTTTTTGAGATTTAATGGGAAAAATGCCACTGGAGAGCCAGGGGTATCGGCACTGGATTGGACAATGTCAAGTGGACAGTTAGTATAGTTGGTGTTGATTAGTTCGAGTCCACCACCACTCCAGGGGCCGACTGGCAAAATGTAGTAGGCATGTTTTGTGCGGAGCAGTCTTCCAAAGGTGTCGCGCACAGGATCTGGTGCTTCTTCTGCCTTGCAAAACATAGAATTTGCTAAGATAATAAAAATTGGAAGAAACAAAAAAAAATTCTTCATTTTAAAGCTGCTATTGAATAAATAAACAAGACAATAATGTAACAGAGTTGAAGATGAATTTGCCTATTTATAAGACAACTTCGACTGGTCAAATGATGAATCAGCAAGAGTTAATATTCCATTAAGTGCGTGTTTGACCACAACTACTACCCACTTTTTATTTACACATTTCGTAGAATCCACAACTTGTAATCACTTTTATAAGGACTACCAAACATACTAAGACACAGCTGTAGTGTGTAGATGCTCACACGCCACTGAGCTAAATTTTGTTATAATCATGTAAATAAATTCATTAAATACATTGCAGTATGTTTGTTAGTATAGCTATCACACAGAACTTAGTCTTTGGAAAAAATAAAATCCCACCTAATGCGTAGCCAACGCAATGGATATGAAAAATTAAAAAAAGGAGTCCAAAAAGATGAGACCAGAACTTTAACATGGTTGGAAAACAGTGGACCGATTAGACCAGCTACTATGACAAGTAAGAGCTCAAACTTCTTATGTGACACTCTCGCGTCATATGGCTCCATCCCAGAATGTTCTTATTGCATATGGAGTCTTTTTCCAGTTATATTAGGAGTGATTTTCTTCTTACATAAAAAATATTTTTCACCAAAAAAAAAAAAAAATTGTTTAGTTAGGACTTTAATGAGACTACTACTTTGACTGTTGATTTAATTATATTAATTTGAGTCAATTTCAATAATCTGCATCTTAATTCAAATTCTACAAATCACGGCATGCCTTGATATCCATCATCGCATCCCTGTTTCATTAGATGCTACAGTTCTTCAATCAATTATAGTAGACAACTAAATTCAAAGACTCATCAACATGGCTCCACAATTCGACTTCTTCATACTTTAATCTTCAATTGCTTATAACTAGCCATGTTGACCACAAAAAATGTGCCAGCAGATACCGGGCCTACTCGTGTTGACATATTTCTAGTAGAAGATATTGAATTAAAACGTGAGAGAAGCTTTTAACACGAGACAAATATGTTATGGATCTGGCAATTATAAGGACATAAAGATACGACAATGAACGATTTAAATGAGAAACTGAATAAAATCTGACATTACATATGTTCAATGTTCGAAATTACAATATCAAAAAGAGAGAGAGTATATTTGTGTTTCTTCCCCCTTTTCTCCCACCCCTTTTTTTACACTAAAAGGGTCTATTTATAGTATTACATGTACAATGATGACTGTTAGATGGGGAACACGTGGCCTCACCTCCTTGACCGAAACATCATTTCATAGGCATCATTTTAGACTGTTCTAGCTTTGGGGCACCTTAAATGCTTCTGGAGAGGACAGCTAACTCATGCCCTATGTTGACATGACTAACTTCTCTATTCATTGCAGCCATCCCATCAGTCATTCCAAGAAGATCCTTGGTACTTTTAAGATCACCAAATGTGGGTCATCATCTGTCATGGTTGAGCCTCGGATTCCACATCAACGAGCTTCAGCTTGAGGCATTGGCCTCGGAGCTTCGGTTTGATCTAGGAATGCTTGTGTTTCCACCTTTTGCCGGGCCTCGATATTGGGGGTGCTTGGGTAACGGTGGACCTTGAAAAATCATTGGACTTCGACAATAGCACCTCGAAAGCACATTGGGCTTCGGCGATAGTATGCGCTATGGTCCATTCTTTACCTTTTGGGCCATTGGACCTTGACCAGTATGGATGCAACAATAATCCCCCAAGTCCAAGTATAGATATTTATGTCATAGTTGGAGTTAAAAGTTGAACTTAGTTCGCGTATGCAGCAAGGAAGTGAACAGAACATTCGTTAAGCCGAAATTGGACTATGCATTTCTTTTTGGGCCGAAGCTATGAAGTGCTGAACTGCCGAAGCTCCCTCCTATTTTGGTTGAGCTTCGTACGAAATGAGGTGCTAAGTTGCCGAGGCTACTCTCCATTGTGGTTATCAATAATGGTTGCTGCTAAGAAATGTGCCAATGATTTGATTTTTTGCGCCTTTCTAAGATAAGACAACTGTATCGTTACAACTTCCAATACACGTCGAGCTGTTACTTAATTAAATGCGTAATGATGATTATTCAACCAGTTTTCAGGGCTAACGTACCGAAGCTCGTGTGTGAAAAACACGCATTAATTTGAGGCGTTAATAAGAAAATTGTTTGTGTTCAACACTTCAGATGTAATTACAAATGTACGCTTCAGATGAAGCAAGCACTGATCCAATGGTTAAATATCATCATTCTCCCTTATAAAAAGGTCAAATCCTCATCATACGTCAGTTTCCACTTTTTGCAAAATCTTTGAATCCTTTCTGATATTCTCCATATTTTTCGATCGTTCCCTTCTCCTCCGGCGATGACTTTTCCTTAGAGTTTCTTCAGTTTAGGTAATTTCCTCGATCATTGGATCTTTCCTTGTTAAATTTATTTATCATCTTTCACCTTTTGTTCATCAATGGCATCTAGTTCAAGTTATACCAATAGGAGTATTACATTGGCTAGAGTAGGAGGTTCCTCTGGGGGGAGGGAGGGTCAAAAAATGAGTATTTTGCCATGAGTGAGGCCCCCATAGATTACGAGGCTAGGTGGGAGGGGGAGCTGCTAGGATACCTTCTGTGGCGACCTCCAAAAAGTTGGCTGAAATTAGGGATAAGTATAAAGTCCCTGATTTTGTAGAATTGTTAGTACCCGAAGCCCACGAACGAGCCTGTTATCCGATGTCGAGATGTGTGGCTGTTAGTGAATACCTGTTTAAAGCAGGTATACAGACACCTTTGCACCCATTTTTAGGGCTTACATGTCGGCTCCTACCCAACTATTGCCTAATGGGTGGAGGTAGCTCTGGGGGCATATTTCCTATGGAAGGAAACCTCAATGGGTGAGGACATGTCCCTCCATGTTTTCCAGACCCTCTTTCAACTTAGGTTTTTAGGGAAAGGAGAATCCAAGGGTTGGTATTACATAACACCCTAGGGAGCTCATTTTCCCTTAGTAGTAGGTCTGCCCACTTCCATCAAGGGATGGAAGGAGTCCTGGGTCTAGGCGAAGAGGAAGTGGCAAATGATCGAAGGGGTTAAAGTCTCAGTTTGTACTGTGCCGACCCAGTATTCTGAAGCTTGTGAGTACTTCATATTTAGTTTTATCTTCCAGTAGGTTTGCGTCTCTGATGTGTCTTGTTTGTCTTATTGAAGATTTCAGATCTTGCTTTGAGTTGTCCCAAGCATAGTGAGATGTAATTGAGGACATTTACAGACGTCCACAAATGTCATGCTACTTCAATTGTTTAATTGATAGAAAAAAAATTCTTCATTGACTTCAGATTGATGGCCTCGACGTACCCTACCCCAGACATGGCCTCCATTTTAAAGACCACTTATACTGTGAGCTCCAGGGCATTGAAGCCTTATTCCGGTGGTACTAAACACACCAAAAGCAAGTTGGATCACCTCAGTAAAGAGCATACTGAAAAAAGCGAAGATGAGGGGGCCCAAGGTAATAAGGGTGAAGGTAAAGTGGATGAGGCCCAGAAGGAAAAAGAAATTGACCCATGGGAGTGACCCTTCTCCTGGGAAGTTAGGGACCACTGTTGCCCCTAGTGGAAAACCAGCTCTGCCTCCACCGCCTCCAAAACTGATGCAAGCATCTTTTGATGCTTCTAAGACCTAGAGGGCGAGGGCCAATGAAGAGGCTACTAAAGAGATAGTGCAGACCTCCGAGGCATCCAAGAATAAAGTTCCAGTTGTCAGGACCCCAGGGAAGTCTGGGAGGTTTTGGCAGGGTAAGATGAGGAAATTGCCCCAACAGTAATGGAGATGCTGCGTGAGCATGTCCGAGGTGCTACCTCCAACTTTTAAAAGTTTTGGACAGAAAGGTAGATGGATTACGTCTCCACCTGCGATGCGATTGACCTCACGGCCACACTTGTGCCAAAGTTCTAGAGCCCTAGGAGTTGCAATAAAATGTCAAGAAGTCCTTAAGGACATTCAAAACTGCAATCGGGATTCAGTGGATAAGCTAGCTTTGGTAGAGGCAGAAGTAAAGAAATATAAATGTAGAAGCTATTGAGCTGAGAACCTAACGAACTGAAGAGGTGGCTAAGTTGGAATCTACCCCGGTAGAAATTGAGGCTCTGAAGAGGAAGGTTCATGAGTCCTAGTGTGAGGTGGCTTCCTTGACAAAGAATGTTGAATTCGCAAACAATCATCAAAAGTTGACATCCAAAGCTTTGGAGAAGGCTAACATAGAATTAAAGCTTCTTAGAAACCTAAATAAAGTACTATGTTGGGGAGGCTGAATGCTTGAGGACTGATGCTGTGAGGGCAGGGGATGAGGCGGTCAGGAGTACATTGCCAATTTTCACCTAACCGAGAAGTATCAGCACTTCGGTACATAGTACGACGGTTTGCCTATGCTGAAGTAATGGATATGGTGGATGAAGTCCCTCAAACTCATGCTGATGATGCAGCTGAGACAAACTAGGAGGGTGTTCTAGAAGAGGCCTCAGGTAGGAGACTACTACTGTGAAAACGTCAAGTGCATGGGCATCCGACCCTCAGCCACCCCAGCATAGAATATGGATTTTTGTAAATTTTTTTATTAAATGTAATGGCTGAGGCCCTCATTTTGTACAGAGCTTTATATCAATGTAATACCTATTTTTACATCTTGTTCTTTATTTATAATTCAATTCTAAATTTGAGCAAGTAAATGCATTTCAGCATAACTTAAATAATCTAAACTTGAACACAAGTAAATGCACTTGAGCATAGCTCGAATAACCTGAGTTTGAACACAAGTAAATGCACTTCAGCATAACTTGGATAATTTGAACTTGAACTCCAATAATGCACTTCAGCATAACTCGAATAATCTGAGTTTGAACACAAGTAAATGCACTTCAGCATAACTTGGATAATCTGAACTTGAACTCCAATAATGCACTTCAGCAT